GATCGCTGTTAGAGTTACTGGCATCAAGCCAAATTTCACCTAATCTGTATCTGTACAGTTGGTTTTTCTTGCCTATATGTAATACCCTACAAAGGCAACATGCACTAGTGAAAGAATATAGAAAAACTATGAACAACTCACTTCTACCAGTGCTTGGTGACCCTCCTGATTTATCAGCCTGAAGGTTCAAATCTAGGAAGCTTCCATTGGCACTTGCACAACATCTGCTCAACAACTCTGACATCAATTCAATCCAATTCAATGTATTACAGTCATAGACCAAAGGCTAGAACAAAGAAAAAAACCCAACACTCAGTAAATATACAATTTAAAATTTTACTATAAAATATAATAAATAACAGCTAAAATCTATTATAAAATCCAGTCTGTCAATTATACATGGTCTAATTATACTAAAATTATAATCCATACTTATTCCTTTCCCTTTTAGCATTAAACTGACTATGGACCACATAGTTCATGGATTGTAATTTTGGTAGAGTTAGACCATGTATAATGGACGGACTGGCATCACTTCCCACCGGAAAGCAAAATGGGTTGCTGAACATCCAGGCATAGGAAGACATACATGACTCCTCAAAAAAGGTACCAGGATTTGAATCACCATGCCAGGACAATCTGAATCAGATTCACACCTCACATGTCATCTGCTGGGACTCATTGTATAAATGTGGCATAAGATGGCTGTGAGGTCCCATGTCAAACTGTAGAGCAGGGGTGAGATTCTACCAGTTCGCACCTATTCTCTAGAATCAGTTGTTAACATTATAAGCAGTTCAGAGAACAAGTTGTTAGAAGAAATTACTGGCCTAATCCTGTAAGGAAGGTAGGAAGGAAACATTCTGGTGTTTCTTACAGAAACTGCCTCTCTGTTAACCCTTATTACATTCTTGGCAGGACTAGACTTCCTGTCTCAGGAACATCTCTGGGGGGTTTTTCTGCTTCTTTGCTGGTACTTTGCTTGTGTGGAGTGAACATTCAAAGTTACAATGGCACTGAAAAAAGTAACTTATGATCATTTTTCACACTTACAATTGTTGCAGCATCCCCACAGTCATGAGAGGCCAGGAAAGGAGATGCATGCCTCGATATGACATTGAGCCCAGCCAATAACATGGACCAAGCCATGTCCACCAAGTCACATGACCACCAAGCCATGCCCACTACCTAAGCCATACCCACAGAACCGGTTGTTGAAAATTTGAATCCCACCCCTGCTGTAGAGCACATTGTGATCAACTGTAACCTGACAGCATATACCGGCCCAGTATCTGATTTTTTTTTTCATATAAATGATGTTGTGTGTCAGTGGTTAGATGGCTTAGACCAGTGGTGGGTAACCTTTTTGAGCTTGCATGCTGAAAATTGCGCGCACGCTTACCTGCCCGTTCTCATGTGCCATCACCCAGAAGGCAACGTGCGTGGGTCCCCCATGCCTCCTGTACATGCGCATGTGACCCACGCTGCGCACTTCTGCGTGTGCGTGAGTGTCTCCTGTGCCCTGCTGCACCACCGCGCATTCGCGCCAGATACCCGACAATCAGCTGTCAGGTGGGTGGTGCACACGCATGCGCAGTAGACCTTTTCTGGGCGAGTGCTCGCGTGCCAGCAGTAGTGGCTCTGCATGCCACTTCTGGCCTGCGTGCCATAGGTCCACCATCAGAGGCCTAGACATTGATATCTGAATACAGATCTTTCTAAAAATGTATTTTATGTTTTATTAATCTAGGTGAAATATTAATATGGCAAATCCATGTATGATATGCCATAGGCTACATAAATGAACATTCCTCTCTATCCAAATATTAACAACCTCCAGACAACCAGATTCTCAATAGCATCACTTCGTTGGCTAGAAGTCAAGATACACAATTGAGTGTCTGCATACTGATAAAACCTGAGCCCATGTCCATAGATGATCTTAACCAGAAGCCTCATACGGATATTAAATAGGAAGAGGGAGTGTTGAACTCTGAAGAAACCATGAAAAAGGCTCTCGGAGTCAATTTCTCCTCTCACTTACCCATTGAAAATAACCTCAAAAAAGGAAAACCATGGAAACATTGTTTCCCTCCCCCGCTTTTCAATCCAAGAAGTTGGAAAAGGATACCATAATTGACTCTATCAGAGATTAACTAGTGATCAAGCAGGAACAGGAGAGTCACAGGCTCCATACTGGTCAACCAGAGGTGACCACAAGCACAGTTAATGCTATCTCTGTACAAGGCCTGAAACCTGACTGAAAATGCTCCAGCTAATCTATTTCTTCCAGAGCCCTTGAAGTTACAGGCCTATCATCTTCTCTACGTCATTTCCCAAATATTGCTATCCTTCTATTTTAGGTAAATTGTATTACTTTGTAATTATTCAAATATCTTAAATATATTGTTTGCAATTAACCTATCAAGCTTTACTATGCATATACCACCCAAAAAAGTTTCACCTGCAATTTTAAATAGAGATGTGGGGGTTTTTTTTTTTCAGTTTTGAAATCTACTATTGTTAGAACCAAGTACTTGCAAGAGTTTCAAGGAAGACAGATAATAACTTACAGATAATAACTAATCAGATCCAAAAATGATGTAAGTTGAAATCTGGAAAATGTGTAAGAGTATTGTTACAAGTAAGCTAACCCTTTAAAAAAAATATCTAAGTGCCTGACCATTTCTCAAAAAATATACCATTAATTTGTCAAATTGTTTAAAATACCTTAAGTGGAATTAACAGAGAAAGTGTATTTATTTTTATACATTTATTCTTCAACTTGAAAATATTATTCTCAGCTAAACAGGGCATTTCCTTAGAAATGACTGTTCCCAGAACAGTAAACAAAGCCAAAAGAATAATCATAAAAATCTCTTTAGAAAGAAAAATCTACATCTGATTTTCAGCAACAGATTGCTCATCCATGTTTTTTTGGTCAGAATTTAAATTAGGCTGGACAAGGAAGTATTTTAAACAATATAATCAAATATTCTGGATTATTATTTATGATATGATTTTTCTAGGTCCTTTTCTTTTATTATAATTATTCATTATATATATTACATAATTAACAAAAATAATATAATATATTACTTCAGTTATATTCATTTTTGTTTTTATTTCATTAGGCTTATAGGCCTCTTCAATTGTGAACTTTGGAGCAACATACCTCCCACCTTAAATCAATTCAAATAATAAAAACACACTTTATCAAAATATCATAATCAACATATAAAGAACACCAGAAACAATCAATTCAACCAAAACTAAAAAGAAACCTTTTATTGCTAGAGGTAACAAATCTGCATGTTTACTTTCTCTTCTGTTAGTTAATAACATAAAAAAGACCTTCTGATATTCCCTAATTTAAATTCAATCTCATAAGAAATTAACTTCTTTATTATTTTTCTCATACTGGAAAATTCATTGTATATACTACCACCATCAAATACAGTCACAGTTTAATTATTGGGCATTTTAATGTTTTAATTTTAATGTTTTCTTTATATTGTTGTATGATCTCTTGTCTTCAGCATTTGTGAACTGTTTTTAACCAATGTGGAATAAAATAAGTCTTTCTGTATAACCTGGGAAGAATGTGCTTGTTTTTCAGTCCAAAGAATACTAGATCAGCATTGTTTTAAAAGGATATAAATCTTAGTGGAAAATATGAAAAATATACAGTATCATCAATACTGCAGCAACGTTAGGACAAATATCAGAATCTGATTAACATAACAAGATTAACTTTCCCTTTGTGTAAAACAGATCCTGAAAACAATTGAAGTGTATTAACCTGTCATTTTAATCCCTTATTTCTATAGAAAATATATCTGATTAATTAATTATTTAAAGACAAATTTCACCAAGTGGATACAACAAATGCTTGAGACCAAGAGTATCATTGAGATGTGTTTCTGAAAATCATTTTAGAACCTGTCTATGCATAAAATCTTAAAACATCAGAAACAGACTACACAGATTTTAGTGTAGCCAATAAGGAACAAACAGAAGAGAAGTGATTACTATTCATTAACAACCCAGTTAAAAAATTTCAAAGGACAAATTGTATCTGCCTGACCCTGGCTGTTTGCAAGCCTGCTCAGACTGCTCCTTGTTCACCTCTACAAAAGGTTTCCTGTCAAAAAAAAAAAATAGAGCAGTTCAGAGTGATAACATGCAAAGTAGCTTTCCCCAGATCACTTTAGGAATCAACTTGATTAATGAAATTACATGTGGGTATGAGTGTATGTATGTATGTGCCAGTGTGCCGATGCCAACAATAATCACTGCTTTCAGTAATAAATGCTGTTAAATAAAGTGAGTGAGATTATACTCATTATGATAGAAATCTAAACTTCCATAACTCTACCTAAACATGCTTCTTCTCTTCTGCACGGTTTTATCCCATTCAGCTGCCATGCATCACGTCCTTTCATGTATGTTAACACCACAAGAACAGAGGAACAGCGGCGATGTTTAGCCAGCACTAACCTCAAGACCAAGCAGGAAAAACCAGGTAAGCCTCTCCCGAGCAATTTATTCAAGGCACTCCTTCCTCCCTCTGCAGGAACCTGTGCATATACCGTAGTACCGTTCCGTCTTGCAGTCTAATGCAGTTCCCATTCCAGAAAGATCCCATCCACCACACCCAGAATGCCTGTCCGGATTGGGTTTTGTAGTTCCCCCAAAGCCAGACCTAAGTAGAACAGAGCAGTTCCAAACCGGCAAGCAAGCGGAAGACCCACGCAGACAGCCGTCCCCATCTGCTGGGTTCATATGCACGTCAATCCACCCGCTCCCTCCAGACCGGTCTTGGCGCAGCAAACGCAGCCTTGTCCCAAACGTGGGCGAGGCATCCCGGAGAAGAACCGGCGCTCCGGTATTCCAGCGGCTTAAACTGCTCTGCGGGGAAATCGCCTGCCTGCTCCCGCCCCGCTGTGGGCGATACTCCCTAAGTAGGTAAGCAGCCAACCGCCCGCTAGCCGCCTCACCGTTGGCGACACGGCGAACCGCTCCAGAAACCTGTATCGCCACTGCTGCCGAGCGCTCCCCCGGCACAGAGAGGCCGCCGCCGCCGCCGCCGCCATCATACTTGGCCGCGATTCTGTTCTCGGTGGCTAGGCCGCCCTTTCACCTCGCGCTCCCTGGACCAATCAGACGCGCCCTTTCCCGGCGGCACCCACTCGCCTTCGCCCCGCCTCTTGGACTCGCGTCTCGCCTGAGGGAGGCGGCGGAGGCCGGCACGCTTTCTCTCGGAGCGGCTCCGGGCGCGTGGAGGAGGAGGCGGAGGCAGCGGCGGCGACCTGCGTTAGGGAAGACAGGGCTGCGGTGACCTTGGTCCGTGAGAGCTCACAAGTAGAGCCCCGTGGTCAGTCAGTGTGCTGTGCGGCTGGGCCTAAAATCTACTGGCTAGGGAGGAAAAGGCGTGGATGGAAACCCTAAAGGGATGGAAACGCCATTCCCTGGACTTTTGAAACGCGGGATGGGCGGTTAAGGAGAAGACTAGGTTGCCCTGAGGGATGAGGGAGATTGTAGGTGCTTCATGACTGGAGGTTTTTAAAGAAAAAAAAATGGACAGCCACCTGTCTGAAATGGTGTAGGGTCTCCTGCTTGAGCAGGGGGCTGGACTAGAAGACCTCCAAGGTCCCTTCCAGCTCTATTCTGATGGGTGGAACTGATTGAGATGCTTTCCCTGCCCACTCTGTGTGTTGAAAAATCAACCTCTTCCCCAAGTATGTTGGCTTGTTCGTGACCTGATGTCCTTGGAGGAAATTTCTGGGTAAAAAGATCAAAAGTCACGGGACATGTTTAGAGAGTCAGGTTTTTAACACATCGTGATCCAATCCAGCCAAGAAATACCGCTCTCTGTCAATGGTACATTGTCTAAAATGGAAATGGCAATTGGTCATTTTTGTAAAAGGCAGCAATCCTAATGACATACAAGTTTTGTTTTATTAATCTGAGTTCCAGGTAATCCTCGACTTTACAACACTTCATTTGGTGACCATTTGAAGTTACAGCATCACTGAAAAAAGTGACTTATGACCGTTTTTTACACTTACAACCATTGCAACGTCCCCATGATCATGGGAACAGAATTCAGATACTTGGGAACTGATTCGTATCTATTACAGTTGTGGTGTCCCAGGGTCATATGATCACCTTTTGTGAGCTTCTGACAAAGTCAATGGAGAAGCCAGATTCACTTAACTGTTACCCATGTGATAACTGCAGTAATTCATTTAACTATGGCAAGAAAGTCGTAAAATGGGGCAAAATACAGTTAACAAATGTTTCACTTAGCAACGGAAGTTTTGGGCTCAACTGTGGTCCTAGATTGAGGACTAGTTGTATTTATGTGACTTGGCTACCATCTCTCATGATTCTGGGAGACTTGCTGAGTTAAAAACATGAAAACAATATAAAAACAACCAAAATTTAACAACAAAAGGTAATTAAAGCAATAATGATTAAGACCATGCAAAACCGTAATCTACAATCACTCTCAAGAAGAGTACAGCCATTCTGTAAGCCATATACCCACTATCAAATTCCCAGGCCAGATGAAAAAGCCATGTCTTTAGGCCATTCCATAAGGCCAGTCAGTTGGTTCATGCACACTAAACTGGGAGGAAATTTATTTGGTCTTCTTGTAGAGCCCTTGTGATTTGTAAATCACAGTTTACAATTTAGGGCATTCTGCAAATCCAGCAGAATGTCTTGCCAATTTTTGACCAATATGTCATAGGAGGAGTCTTAAGAGGTGGTAAATGCAAATTTCCAAGTGTTTCTTCCAGGGCAAATTTTAAAAGTTAGAATGCATTCACAGTAGGCATACTGAAGATAGTAGAGGTAAATATGGCATGCTTCTTTGACATGAATAATCATTAAAAACAAAGAGAAAAATCACAGAACATGTGAAAAGTTCAGTGCCTATGCAATCCATAATAAGCAAGAGAAGAAAAGTAATGGAAGAGATGGAAGCGCTGCTCAGCATGTAGATCAAACAGCGTCAGCAATACAAGCCACTTAACCTAATGCTGATCCAAGAGAAGGATATGAGTTTGTTTCCTGACTTGAAACAGAAGGTTGGGGAAAGTGCTGAAAGAACATTTTCCTTGCAAGTAATGGATGGTTCCTGCATTTCAAGATTCATGTGAATAGGCACAATGTGAAAGTGAGTGGAGATGTGGTGAGTGCAGAACAAGGATGCAGCCAAGGAGTTCCTGGAAACCTCAAGAAGATCATTGAGGATGGTGGTTATTTGCCCACCAAATAGTATGGATAAAACAGCACTTTATTGGAAAAAAATGCTGGACAGAACCTGTATCAGCAAGAAGACAATGCCAGACTTCAAAACTGTGAAGGATAAGCTGTGATGTTAGGCATCAATGTTTCTGCTGCTAGTCCACTCCCAAGAACCCACAAGCCCTTAAGAACATCTGAAAGAGCTCACTGCTTGTGTGAAAAACTAGCAAGAAAGCTTGGGTCATGCCTCTCATCTTTGGAGACTTCTACCATTTCATCCCAGAAATAAAGAGGTATTGCTGTGAGAAAAACATTTTTCAAGACTCTGCTACTTTTGAATAATGCCCCAGGTCATCCACCTTACCCAGAAAATTTCCACCCAAATATGAAGGTTGTTCATCTGTCTCCGAACATGATCTCTCTCCTGCAGCCTATCTGCTATAGCATAATTTATGAGGAAGAAAGGAAGGCTTTTCCAGGTTCACTGGACCATGTCATTAGGAAGGTGAGAAAACATGCCATATTGGTTCTGGAGAAGGAGCCAACTCCATCACTTTCAGGTTTTTTACACTAGTTTGGATTTGTAGACAAAACAGACTTGCAACAGCCTCTGGTGAAGGAAATGTTTGTAACGATATGACCTGATAATTAAAAAAAAATCCAAAAGTGTCACATTTGTATGCATATTTCCTATATTTCACAGAAGACTACATATGTTAGAGAAAAATGGTTCGTGTGAGATGGAAAGGTTTGGTTAGCGTCTAGTATTACTCTTTAAGGATATAAACATTTCATTAAACTAGGGACAGAACATTCCAGAGAATTCTGGAATGTTCTGTTTTCCACCTGTCTGTCATTCTGAAAGAGTTCAAGATTTCCTCTGAATCTGTTCCATAGATGATGTGTACCAACAAAATGACCTAAACCAGTGGTCGCCAACCAGTGGGCTGGGGACCACTGGTGATCTGCAGGAAAATTTTGGTGGTCCGCAGAGAAATGTCACCTACCAAAGCACCCCCCCCAGGGCAATTAATGTGGCATGTGAAGGATGTGTGTTTGTGTTTATTTTCATGGTCATGATGTGCACTGAAGATGGTGTTTGATTTCGTTGTAGGAGGTGCAATGACAATAAAGTAAACTAACTAATCCAGGCTACACGGGAACACAAGACTTGCGTCGCTTGCCTTGTGAACAACACGAAGTGAGGGGAGGGAAAAAGGGAGGAGTGAGGAACTTGCCCCACACACCTTGCCTGTCCACCGGGCTGCTGCTTTCCACTTCTTTCTTCTGCTTTTGGCTGCATGCAAGAAAAACAGCAAAAGTCTTTCTCTCCCCCAAACTTCACCGGAAATTAGTCTTTGGGACCCTGCAAGGCATCCTGCTGCAAGCGGCTGCACCGGCGCAACAAGTCTCACAAAGACTCATTTCCGGTGGAGTTTGGGGGAGAGAAAGAAAGACTTCTGCTGCTTTCCTTGCATGAAGCCAAAAGTCTCTCTCTCTCTGTGCGTCTCTCTCCTCCTGAGAATGGAGCTGGGGACAGTATCCTGCAATCCCAAATGAAGAATAATCAATCAGTAGGAAAACCTTTTTTGGGGATTTTCCCAGGGTCTCTGGTCCTCGGGATTTAAAATTATGAGTTTGGTGGTCCCTGAAGTCCAAAGGTTTGGCAACCCCTGACCTAAGCCATCTTTGGAACATCTTGCGCAATTTTAATTTGAGGATTTATTTCCAGAAACCAGCAAATCACTTCCAGAATGTTGTAATTTAGGGGGAGGTACAACATTTAGAAAGCTCTAAAGATCTGAACATTTTATTCTGGACCTGTCGAAGTCTGTACATCGCTGCTGACTGTTAGAAGATTTTTAGTAGCAGGTATATTTTCTATTTCACTGTATCTTCCTTTCTAAGGCAGTATTATTTATTGCAAATTGTTTTATGCATTCATGCTCAGACTTGTTTATTTCAGTATTACTGCTCACATACAGTTTGATAATAAACGAACAGTCTACAACATATAAAAATTATATTTAATCGAAGTGACATTCAGCAGTGTTGGGGTGGGGGAATTACATGCCTCAAGGAACTATTGTCCCCCTCATTTGCATTCTGGAATCACCCAAGTATTACATTAAGAACACCTACCTTTTATGACAGAAAATTGCTTAAGAACAATGCTCCAAAAGCCAATTAGATGCAGATTACAGCACTGCTTTAGACACCTCAAGGATAAGATGTGAAAACTCAAAATGTCTCACATGGCTGACCTTGATAAATTTCACCACCTGCCAGATTATTTGCAGTCATATCCACATCTGGATACCCATGCACTAAATGAAAGAGCACTGGGTTTACTTGTAAGGAGAAATAACAAAAGAAAATATCCCATGTCTGCACAAGCTCTGATCTTTATTTTACACACTGAATGTAAAGTGCTTTTTCCATAGTAAATAGATTTCAGAGTCACTTAAAGGTTAATGCTTGCAATGCAAACAGCAATCAAGCAGTAAGCCACTTTCTCAGCACGTGGTATCCTGAGCTTCTGTTATGTCAATATTTTTTAAAGGGCAAGCAGACTGACCCCATGGAATTGTACACTAGTTAACCTACTATCAAGTCCCATCAAGGGCAAAAATAATAGAAAGATAAATGTAAGCCTGAAAAAAGAGAACGGCTACATAGGAATATCATTTTCTTAATTTTATTCACCTATCAATTTTGATTAATGAGAAAAATGATTTTAAATGACACACTCTAAACCAGCAATCAACCAAGGACAACCCTTCCATTTTTCTAATATGTTCTGTACATTTTAATATATAAAGGCATGTATAGAAAATATTGATAGGTGAGGTATATGAGCAGAATAGCAACTTTCCTAAAGTTA